ACAACATTTTGCCCTCGCGAAGGAGGGTCCGAATAAGCTAAGCTAAGCTAACTAATCTAATTAAACTAATTATTACACAACGAAACGATCAACTAGCAAACTAGTTACTAATTATTACAACAATTTAACTAATTAACAAATGAAATAATTAAATCACAAATTCAAGCTAATTAATAAATGAAGCTTTAAACTAAGCTGCCCCAGCTCTATTTGAAGATGTTGAACATGCATGCACTTATTCGGTTTCTCTCCCCGAAAAGCCTTCCGGTCTGCTCTTTAGAGGCTCTGTTTCGAGGGTGTCTTCAAGAACTTGCTACTGAAACTTACCAAACCAATGCTGGGGAGTGCACCAGTGGCCTGCTAGCCATGAGGAGTTGCTGCTGGCCATCTACCGGCCAAAAGTGGGCCTCTGCCAGCCAACAATGCAAGGGTGTCCGCCATCAGTGTGGCACTGCCGGCCATTGGTGTGCTGTGACATCAAACTGCAACAGAGCACAAAACAGAGGAAATGGAGGGTCTCCCTAGGGCATGTATGTACTGTGCCACTCCTTATCATCTCAAAACATCAAGGGAGTGGCACCATTGGATCCAAAACCATCAATCAAGCATGCAATGCATGATAGCCAAGGATTCAACTTGCACAAATTCACTAAATGCAGGACAAACAAGACTCTAGGGCCATCACCTTATCAAGGATGATCAAAGGCAACGAAGACAAAGGGAATTGGCCTATTTTCATCACTTTGAGTACGAAATGGACCAATTCACCATGTGTTCAATGTAATGTCCGATTGAACACAATGCAATGCACACATGCAACATGTTTATCTTGGCATGTTTTACTTGATTCAATTCTTGTTTACTCCTTTTACATTACCAAGCCATTCATCAACCGGTTAAGTCCAATGTGAAAAGTCCTCTAATTGGAAAGACGGCCTCAGCCACAAGGACCTTAAGCATGAAAGAAGCCTCATGCTGTTGGTTTGTACAAACCCTCAAGAGAATGTTAAAACCGTTAGGCATGAGAGCGTCAATTCCATGTTTAAGCCAACAAGGGGCTTAAGACCACTTTCAAAATCAAATTCAAAAGTGAAGCATAGAGGAAGATTGTAGATATTCAGTGCTGATATGGCATGCTAAAGACACTAAATCATGCAATCAACAAATGCACAACATGTTAGGAGACTTAAGCATAAAAAACTAGTGAAGTGCATTACACTAGAACCGTGCAATATCAAGAACAAAGGACCAAACTAGCTCTGGTCAGAGCTTAAACATGCCAAAACAGTGGCTGAAATGAGCTGAGATGGTAGCATGAAAAGCAAGAAAAACATGCTCATGTATTGGCTCATAAACAAGGCATAAGGCTCAACTCTCAAACGCAATTAAAGTGTGATATATGTGAGAGTATGACAGTGATATATTCTCTTCATGATTAAGGCTATGCATTAGAGCACTTGCATTGGCCATGGTTTGGCCTCTTAACCACTGAAATCCAATGGATTTTCAGTGGCTTAGATGTATTTTTGAGGGCCAAAATTAGAGGGGGGTGACCCCCTCTCTCCTTGTCTTTTTTGGTGGTCTTTTGGGCCTTCCAAAGGGACGCTATTTTCCATGCATCGAAGTCTTGTTTCAGGCCTCATTTTGTGAGTTTTGGGGTCTGCCTTGGTGCTGTCCAAGGCCCTTTTCACCATATTTTATACCTACAATGCATGTGTAGAGCAATCCCATCCAAGGCTCTTCAAAGGAGCCTTTCTTTGCATATTTCCTAGACTGATTTTAGGGCCAATTTAGTGAGTTTTAGGGCTGTTATAGTCCATTTCCAGAGGTGGTTTTGCTATGCTTCATGTCTATCTTGTATGTGCTTAACAACCCCTTGCAAGGCCCTCCAAAGAAGCCCCTCATTTTTGCATGCATTGGCTCCATTTCAGTGATTATTTGGGCATATTTTGGTATGTTTTATTCACTGTTTTTGGCTGGTTTGATGAGTTCTCATTTTCTTCATATACATGCCATGTAAATCATGCTTGCTAGCCAATGTTGCATGCTATTTTAGTCCATCATGTTAGCATCTTTTGGCCATGCTCTAAACTATAAATGTGCATGTTTTGGGACTAACTTGGCTCTATCTTTTGACTTCATGATCAAATAATGCTTGCTTTGTATACTTGTGGTTCAATACATGTGCCTAGCTTTGAATTTCGGGGCTTATTTCATGCATCGGGTGCCTTATTTCCATGTTTTGGGATCATTTAGCATCATGTTTTAGTGCTGGAAATTACATGTTCATAGGCCATCTTTCATCCCTTGCCATGCTTTGGTAGAGTGGTATTTTTGTGCCTTAGGTTCGGTCCTCGGTATGCGTGCACGTGTGCACACATTTCGGTTGTCTCTTTTTCATCTAATGGCCACTGATGTGAGTGTGGCTGAGGTCCACTCATGTTGGTGTAAGTCCATTATGCATTGTGTATGCCTTTTAAATCCATAGCATTCTGTATGCTAGGTTGCATCTTAGAGCATTGTTTATGCCATGTTACATCGAGCATTGCGTATGCCATTTCATAACATTGCATATGCTAGGTTGTATGTTAGTCACATTATGTATGCCATCTCATTCGCATTGTGTTTGGGATAGGAGTTAGCCCAAGCACGGGAAACGAGGGACGTTTCGTACTCCGAGTGATGGAACGTGTCTCAATTCCCTGTCGCCGACACTCCGGATTACCCATGATGGAGTTTAGGTCTTGTTGTGTTTTCATGTGCATTCATTTCATATTGAGTCGTGCAATTCGACTCCTCGGCCATCATGCATCGATATGCGTGATTGGTGGCACGAGGATCAAAGACTACACTCCCTGAAGAGTAGTCATGCATACATATGTGAAAATACTTTGCCATGCCCCTTTGTTGCTCTCTGCTACAGCAAATCAGAAATCAGTAGCCTTCTAGAGCTTTGCACAATATTCCGAGAACAATTGCGAATAGAGGCAAACCGGGGCATCGTAAAGAATTTCCCGACGAAGGCAACCCGAGCATGCATCATTCATCATTCGGAACAGAGCCGAGGCGGTCCATAGCTTGCATGCTAATTTATTCGCTTTTCCCAGTTAATTTTTTAATTAATTAGGATTTTGTACTTATTCGGACTGTATTATTTATTCAGACCCTCCGAGCGAGGACACAACTGTAATAAGTGTGCATGCGTGTGATGTATGTCTTCCAACCCCACGTCTTTCTCCCTTTTATTTACAAACTTATAATGGTTAGATTAGGGCATGTTTCAATTAGCATACAGTATGATAGCATGTTTGCATTCATTCATCTGTATTGCATGCACCGGGCTCGGCGCATCATACTAACTGCATTTGTATTTCAATTCCAAAATTGAATACGTGTTAGTTGTAGCATTTCACATGCCATCCTTAGAATAGCCGAGCCTATTGTAGTTGCATTTTTGCATGTGTTGCATTAGGCATTTTTGTATAGTTAGGATCATGCATGGATTTCTAACATATCTTTTGTTTTGGCTTGGATTACTCGGTGAGTGTTTACGCTTTAGCATCCTTGCATGTGTGTGAGTGACTGCCATGATAGCATGCTTACCATGAGGCTATGTGCTTATGTGATATACCTGCCTGAACGCCTGTGGGTGAAGGTTCGGTTATTTGGATTGGAACAATTCATCAATTGTGAGTTTTAAGCCCACTAGATAGTGGCAAATCATCTTGTTTTCTAAGCCCACCTGAGGGTGGTAAATCCACATTTTAGCTTACTTGCGAGTAGCAAACCGTTTTCAAAACAAACATGAGATGTTTCATTCCAATTCAGGCGATCTAGTCTATACTTATATGCTGTGCGCATCACATAGTAAATCTAGGCTAATAACTGGAATAAGAACGCATAATGTTTTCAAAACTAGATATCATGGTTAGTGGAGGCCGATCTTTGATCGGGCGAGCGGGGGTGCTCACGAAGTAACCTTCCCCAATCGTACCCAAGTTCCCGAGCCGAGGCAACTTTGGTGATGACGAACATGTGGCCTTAGGCAACGAGTCAGGGTTTCTTAAATTTCCCAAAACAAAATATTTAGGTGGCGACTCTGTATCTGGCAAAGCAGTCCATGTTTGGCACTTCTTTCAAAAAATCTGTTTTCAAACACGATTTGCCGGATTTGGACTCTTTTATGATTTCATCGGTCTTGCATTGCACTCTGTGAGATTAGATATAGGACCGTGACATTGAGCCCTGAACTGTAGTGAGCCCAATGAACAAAATGGAGGGAGGGGGGGATTTCCTCCCGGGATGTTCGGGGACGTCTACACAACCACACTCATGCAAGTATGCTAAAGCATAAAACTTACCGAGTACTCCAAGCCAAAACAAAAGCTAGTTAGAAAAATGCGCGATCCGAACTATACAAAATGTCTAATGCAACACATGCAATAATGCAATAAGATAGGCTCGGCTACCTAATCATGGCATATGATACAATTTGATAACACTAGCAGCCGGGCACATGCAATGCGTGTGCAAACTCGTTTAAAATTATATTATAATTTTGATATTATTTTTTCTAATAATATACGTATAAACCATATGAATAATTATGTACAATGTAATATTTGATATTAACGTATTTGATAAATAAAATATATGCACATTATCATATGTACACGTCTTTTAAAAATTGAAATATTTATTAATCTTAACTAAAAAAAACTGTACAATAAAAATTCATATAAAATCTAAATTTGGTAAAATGAGACCGGAGATCCTGCAAATCCTGCAATATATATATATATATATATATAAGATATATAAATATATATATAAGATATATTTATATGAGATTGCTAATAGTATACATTGATTAAAATTAAATTTTACGTTCTTAAAAGGAGACATAATTATACATAAGTTTGGTTTTATAATTGGCTTATTATGTATAAAGACACAAAAGGTAATTATTGTGTTAATTTTTTTTAAACAAAATCTAAAAATTAAAAACTTACATATTGACATAGATTGACATCGTCCATATCAAATGTCACGTTCAATGATCTCTTCAAATTGTTTTGATGCAATTTTTGCCATAGATCTATGACAACATTAAACTACAAAAAATAAGATGGAATTGACCAAAAATGAAGTACGTAACTTTAGTTATACATACAAACCTATAAGTAGATTACCTTGTAACAATGATGCACATATATTTGTAAGCTTTCAATTTTTGTATCATTCGTTGCCTATAAAACTAAGGAAAAATATCTCACTTCCTTGTAAGTTGATTGTCTAACAAATTTATAAAATCTAAAATTAATTTGTAAATTCACAAATATGAATATATGGAGCATAGTAGTAAACTTCATAATACTTGATGCAAATACCACATATATGTCCATATTTTCTTTGCTGTATATACTTGCTCTATCAGATATGATAGGATTTCTGTAAAAAGATTACAATAACAATTAGCAAATGTAGCATATTGAACTTATTCATATAAAATGCCGCAAACACATTATCATACCGATGTTGTCGTTGCCTTAAAAGCTCTCGGACAATTAATTTTCCCAATTGTTTTTTATCAACTTTAATAGAGACCTTCCATCCAAGATTGTATATGGAGAACTGTTTGACCTACATTAATTTAAAAGGTATAGTCAAACTCAAAATATATGCGAATATTGTCAGATTAAATAGCCAAAATTTTACAAACATTATTTTTTGAACATAAGTGAAGCCAGTACCTGATTTGTAACTTTCTTAGCTACAACCATATTTGACTCCTCTTGATAATTCCCCCAAAGCTGAAGTAGCTTTAGTTTTTCAAGTATTCCTTCAATCAATAATTATATGAAGATATATTATAAGTATATTAAATGTAGATTTAAAAAATGACATAATATAAGCTCAATAAGAACATATTTGGTACATACCTCCTGTATAAATAAGTTGGTAACAAAACGTCTTTATAGACTACTTTGCGGGTATACAGCCCTTCTTCATTATTAACTAAACCTTTTTAAACCAAGATTTTCATTGTCTAATCTGACACCCCTTGAGGTAAAGCAACATATAGTTGTCCAAGACTAAATACATGATCCGGAAGGTAAATTCCCACAAGTGGAATTGTTTGACCTTGTGATTTATTTATCGTCAAAGCAAAATTAAGGTGAACTGGAAATTGTGTGCAAGTCATTTCAAATGGAAGTTTTAAGTTCTCTGGAGCCTTTAATGGAATGCGATGCAGGAAAACTCTCATGCCTTTGAAACGTCCTGTTAAAATCTCCGAATCTATGAAATTATCGTTCAAAGCTCGACATAGTAGCCTTGTGCCATTGCACAAACCAAAAGAAGGATCAAGATTCCTCAAAAGCATAATTCGGGCTCCAACTTTCAAATGCAATGCATGTGGGGGCATTCCTCCTGGTGAAATGGAATTTAAAAACTCTTGTTGATACAAATTTTGGGTATCATTTTCAACTTTATCAAATGAGTGGTACACTCTTGATTCTCCCAAAAATCTCTGAATGATTCTCCCATTGAGCTTGTCGACATCTTCATTGCGAGGAGTTATTATGCCCCTACTAACCATGTACTCGACGTCAGAAGAATGGTTTCTGATATCGGGATAAATTTCTTCTAATAGTCAAACTATAGATTCTTTGCCATTCTATGGTATTGCCATCGATGTTAGTACTTTGATCATTTCATCTATAATGGTAGGTTGTACACCATCTCCAACGGATAAAAGAAATTCACAAAATTGTTGGTCATTTATAGAGCGCATGTTTTGCTTTAAACGAATTACTTGAATGTGACTCGAGAAAGGTGATTTGACTATCGATGCAGCAACAGTTTCAGCTTTTGTACCTTTAGGAACAACTGGAAGTACTTGTCGAAAATCACCACCAAACACCGTAATTTTGCCACCAAATGGATAATCAACACCAGTGATGTCTATGAGTGTTTGATTCAAAGCTTCAAAAGCATAACGATTTGTCATTGTAGCTTCATCCCAAATGATGACTGTTGCACATCTAATCAGTTTTTCCATATCTGATTGTTTAGTAATGGGACACACGGACGAAGCCTCTGGATTTAATGGGATCTTGAATCTTGAATGGGCTGTCCTTCCACCAGGTAAAAGTGTAGCTGCAATTCCAGAAGTTGCTGTTGTAATGGCAATTCGACCTTGACTTCTCACTGAGGCCAATAGTGCACGATATAAATATGTCTTTCCAGTTCCTCCTAGGTCATCCACAAAGAAGATTGCACCTGTATTGCATTCCACATCCTCCATGATTGAATTAAATGCTAAGTGTTGATCACTATTTAATGTGGCGATAGAATTTAAGTCTTCTCGAGGAGTTACAATGGAAAGCTCATCTTATATGACCTTTGGAACTGTTGAATTATCATCCAAATTCATTGTCATCTAAGGAAAATCGTATTCTAATATGTTCTTATTATGCTGTTGCAGGAGACGGTTAATATCTTACAGGGTTTTGTTAAGGATATACATATTATTCATACTGTTTGAAGATATGTAATCTTCAATCAAGTAAGGATAAATTTTATTCCACAAACTTTGCTCCCCTGTTGGCACACAGTAAACCAAAATTGTAATGAACAATCTCCTTAAAGTTGATGGCATGTGCATGGTTGCAGCTTCTAACAAACATTGTCGTATGCTATCATCATGCTCTAACAAACCATGACGTTCGGCTGCTTGTTTAAAAGTTGGGTACACAATTCCATTAACCATTAACAAATGATCGAATGATTTTGGTCCTCAAATATGATTGAGTAAAATTCTCAGGTAAAATCTCTCCCCTTCTGATGGCGAAACTGTGTAAATTCTACCAATTACTCTTTGATGGTTCAATCTCAACTGCCAAATCTTTGCACTGTTGCACCCTCTATAATGTTGTGGGATCTCTCGATATAAGTATTGATTTGCAGTTTCATCATTAACATTTAGTTGAAAGAATTTGGAAAGCATTGTTCTGGAGTAATACTGATTTCCTAAAACATTTGTGATGTCTTGGAACATATAAAACCTCACTTGCTACTGTAGACACCACATTTTTGACTGCCCTTAAGATTTGGGCGCTACTGATTGTTTACTTGGTGGTGAAAGATGTGTAGTGCAAAGATTCAATTTATTCGGCAAGAGGAGCTTCAAATCCCAACTTCACACCCCTTTTTTGACCAAAACTATTTTGACCAAAAGATTTTAGACCTTAAAACCCTCTCTTTCAAAATAGCTTTTGAAAAAGCTCCTACGATGTTCCGACGCTCGCATTTCGTTAAATGTTGCGCTTTTCGATAAATCGGGCAAGGACAAAGTAGAAATGAATGAAAGAGAGGTGAAATCTTTGAAGAAAATCTTCAAAACACCTTATTTAGGGATTTGGAGTTGAACAAAATGGGAGAGGAGAGAAGAAACCAAGTTGGAGAAGAAGTTGGGCATGAACCGTTAAGAAAGAGTCAATCAACCCTCGCTAAATTTGACCTATCCTTTTGTACACTTTGATTTAAGCTATGAGGCCACCACCATTGGAAAGGGGATTTCCGGGGCTTCATTTTACACTCAAGAATCCCTAAACCCGAGTTTGGATGGGGGAGATATGGTCGGTTGAAGTTAGGCATCATTCCGATTGAGCTGGAAATGAGAAGTCTTCACTGAAAAAGGGATATCTCTTAGTAAACTTGGAATTTTGATGTGAGTCTAGATGAAGGAGTTATGCCCATTTGAAGTTGGACCTAGAAAGCAGAATTTTCTGCCGGCCACTAGTGAAGGGTGTCGGCCATCAATTATCCCCTGCCGGCCACCAGTGACGGCCGGCCGGCCAACGATGTCAAAAATCAGATATTTTGCAGATCTTTTCCCTCCAACTATTCTACACAAGCTCCAGCTTAGATATTTCAACCAAGCTCTTGTTTTTGCTATATATGAAGGCCATATCTATCATTTTCCAAGGTTAACAAGTTTGGGAGCTTCTCACACTAAAATCCGTCTGTCTTTACAAATTTTTAGCGCTGAAATTCTCTATCTCTCTAGAATTCTCTCTCTCTCTCTCTCTCTCACTATTGTGCTATACTGTGCTTGAAAGTGGTCTTTCTTCACATATTTGTATAGAACCCCTTAACCAAACACACCTATCTTGGTGTTGAGGTTTTTTAAGGCTTGTTTGGAGTTCTTTAAGGCTAGTTTTGGCTCAGAAAGCTACCATCTTGATGCTATGCTTCCAGGGTAAGCTTCTTCCCCTTTTAAGCTTATTTTTCTACATTCTCTTGGCCACCTTTGCATGTTGTTTTAGGCCTACTTGTCAACTACAAAAACCTCTATTTCGACATGTTTAAAATGGGGGTTTGAGGTCCTTTGGGAATTAAGGGTGGTCCACCCTCTTTTGTAGCTTATTCGCTGAGCTTTGTGCCATCTTTCAAAGCTTTTGAAGCCATCTCTTTTTGGCCCTTTAACCACTGAATTCCAGATAAATTTCTATGGGGGAAAGGTGGTTTTGAGATCTAAAATGGGAGGGGGTGGTCCCCTCTCCTCTTGTCTTGTTTGCGTGTGTTGATGGCCTACCAAATGAGCATGAATTTCTCCCTTTTTGAAGCTTAGTTCGAGCATGGTTTAGGCTATATTTTGACCTACTTTAACTCTATTTTTAGCTGGTTGGGTCACTTGTGGCTTGATTTTGGTACTTGTAGTGCAACCATGCTTACAAGCCTAGCATATTTGATGATTTAGCCTATCGATCTATCTTTTGTTCTCTTAGCTCCAATACATTTTTGCTAATATTTTGGCATGTTTAAGCTTTGTTTTGAGACGGTTTGATCACTCGAGCTTTGCTTTGTATGCTTGTAGTGCAATTGTGCTAAATTGCCTAAAATGTGCTATTGTTTTGGCCTCTAAGTCTAGCCTTTCTTGACTTGTTTCAAGCATGTTTTAGAACTCCATTTAGGCTGTTTTAGGAATGTTTTGGGTTGTTTTGGTCATATGGCTCATTTATTGCATAGCTATAGTGCAAGTGCCTTAACTAGCTTTGAGTTTTAGGGCCTGTAGCATGCTTTGCATGTGATGTTTGCATGATATAGCATCATTTCTCTTGTGATTTCAGAGCATATATCACTATCATACTCTTGCATATATCACTCTTTAATTGTGTTTGAGAGTTGAGCCTTATGCCTTGTTTATGAGCCAATACATGAGCATGTTTTTCTTGCTTTTCATGCTACCATCTCAGCTCATTTCGGCCACTGTTTTGGCATGTTTAAGCTCTGTCCAGAGCTGGTTTGGTCCTTTGTGCTTGATATTGCATGGTTCTAGTGTAATGCACTTCACTAGTTTTTTATGCTTAAGTCTCCTAACATGTTGTGCATTTGTTGATTGCATGATTTAGTGTCTTTAGCATGCCATATCAGCACTGAATATCTACAATCTTCCTCTATGCTTCACTTTTGAATTTGATTTCGAAAGTGGTCTTAAGCCCCTTGTTGGCTTAAGCATGGAATTGATGCTCTCATGCCTAATGGTTTTAACCTTCACTTGAGGGTTTCTACTAACCAACAACATGAGGCTTCTTTCATGCTTGAGGTGCTTGTGGCTGAGGCCATCTTTCCAATTAGAGGACTTTTCACATTGGACTTAACCGGTTAAAGAATGGCTCGGTAATGTAAAAGGAGTAAACAAGAATTGAATCAAGCAAAACATGCCAAGATAAGCATGTTGCATGTGTGCATTGCATTGTGTTCAATCAGACG